TTGTTAATTTTATGATCCGGCATGTGTTAAGGGCACATAGTTGTTATTTTGTGACCTTGAGTTATGTTTTTGAAAACAACATGATATAGTGTTTTATGGCAAGCCCGATCACATGGTTGTTAGTTTTGTGAACTGTAGCCCAATACTATGTGATATATGTGTTATGTGCTTATTTGCATCTATTTACAATTACTATAAGGGTTGAGTGAAACTTGGTTACTAAGTAGTTGTACTCACCCCTCAATTTTTAATATTTTTAGGGACTATCTCATTGGATCCAAGTCGGGAAAAACACACAAAGACTTAGAATTTGTGGAGTAAATCCTCTTTATGTCTCTCTTTAATTGCTTACATGTATATTTGTTAATGTAATTGCCAACTAAGGTTAATTGTCATGATTGGTGTTCTACTTGCATGATTTTGTGTTTAACTAGTGTATTTTGTACCTTGGGTTAGTGAGTTTTTGTTGTAAACCCATGGATAAGGCCAAAGTACTTGTACAAGTAGGAACATATGTATTTTTGAAAAATATAAATGGAATAGTTGATTTTATGCAACTTTTCCTCCCTTTCTATGTTTTGTGAAAATTGGGGTTGAGTGGTGATTTTGTTAAATAAGTATTTTTGATTGCATGTGGTGTGTTGCACAAGTCCGCAAGAGTCCATTGAGCGTGATCGGAGGATTGGTGTAGGCTATTGACACATGTGGCTGAGTTAGGATACCTCATTTGAGAAATTTTATAAAAATGTGTCAAAATGAATTTTAGTATCCAACTTCTTATAGAAAATGAGTTTGAAATGTGAAACCTGTGCCATTAGCTAGAGCTAGAAGAAAGCTCCGTGTAAACACCAAAACCACCTCAATCAGACGTCAGATGGAGTTTTGGGATGCGTCGGAAGTTCGCTCCCTGCGCTATCAAATGACAGCACTGATCTGTCAAATTTTGTGCAATGCACCACGGCGCATGGCACCTCACACCGCGATGTATGGCATAAAGGAAACATGTCGCGGTGCATGAACCTTAAGCTGCGGCACACGTGTCAAATTTTGTGTAAAAATCTGTTTTTAGTTTTAAAACTCATTATTTGGGTCCCAATTAATTTTCAAGCTTCCGCTTAGTTTTTAAAACTCTGATTTGAAGTCCTTAAATTATATTTGAAATTTGAAATGGCAAATTGAGATTCCTTTGAAATAGATTTTGAGAAATTCATTTATAAACCCTACAGTTTGGTAATTCTTGTGAGCTAAACCCTAGATTACCATGATTTAGAGTTATGTGTGATTTAACCTCAGGGAGGTTTCATGTATCATATGGCTTGTTAAGTCATGATAAACTTTAAAAATTTGATTTTATTTTTAAGTTAAGTAACAATTTCATATTTATTACTTATATTTAGATTATTATATACATATATAATTTGTTTAATTTAATTATTACATTACTGGTTCGACCATTGGTCTAACCCAGTTGGACCATGCAAACCATAAACTGCTAACCTTACCAATTTAATATCTAGTCTGATTTTAAAAACATTGCTTTTTCACACTTCAATTGCCTTCAAAACTAAAGCATCAGAAGACGACCCTTTTAACGTGTCAAAAATCAATATAACTAAAGTTATTATCAAAATATAGTAATTATATATTTTTTCTCACAAGTATCCCCCTAACAATTTACTTGAGCCTCAAGATATAGTTAGGTATTAAATATAGATACCTTTTATAGCAAGGATTCAAACATTGGTTTGTCATATTATGAGTAGAGGCAAAGCATATATAATAATAAAAAAAAAGTTAAACATATATATATATATAGATATATATCATTAACATAACATAAATATTTTAACACATATATTTATATTCAATTATACATATATAAAACAAAAATAAATATATACCATCAATTTTTTAAAGTTTTGCTCATCTATTTTTCAAGGCATAAAAATAATTAATTATCATGTTTACAAAAAACTTTTTAGAAATTTCTTTATGAATATAAAATATCATTAAATTGATGAAAATTTCATCTTTCCCTATGAGTACTAAATGATTTAAATGCATCCTATGGATCTAAATATATTCAATTTAAGAAGATCTATTATTTGCTCACTGAATTTACTACTTAATTTTTTTAAATTAATAATCATAGTAAATAAATATATCAAATATGATAATGGTGTTCAATTGTTATAAAATTTTTATGTCGATGAGATCAAGTTATATCAAAGTAAAGATCATTTATATCATAAATTTTAATAGTTTTGTTATTAAAAAAAGTAATTTTTTCTAGAAGAACATTTTAATCATAACCCCTTGACTTTTGAATAAGTAATTTTATGATAGATATCTATCACATATCATCAAAATATCTTGAAATTTTAATTACAATGCTTGACAAAGTTTGTTAGCAATAATTCTTATAATTTATTTCATCAAATATAAAATGTAAGAAAAATCAAATGATACAAATGCCTTAAGCATGTGTAGCATTATCCCGTTGAAAATAAGTAGATCATAGGACAAAATTATATCTTCAGGCTACTAAAACGGTTGCACTATACATGTGTATAAGATTACATATAGATCATTGAAATGAGAATTTTATCTAGTGTCTCAAGACTTCCATTTGGCTAAGAAAATTTTTTTTTATAATATGCTAATTTAGGAGGTTGAAAATATATAACTCTTATATTTTATTAAAAAATTAAAATTTAGGGGTACCCTTATCTCCACTCCAAGTTTTAAAGGACTAGCGCTTTCAATTAGACCCAACTCCATTGGTAATATAGTTATTATATTATTGTCATTATTATTCTATAATTGTTAATTAATCATATTGATAGTATTTTCTCTATCTCAAATTATAAAATACTTTTGGATAAAATCTCACATATCAATAAACTTCATTAAATACACTTAATAATTTTATTTTTTAAAAAATAAAAAAATAAACTTCCAAAACACCCTTCATTTAATATATTGAAAAGAGATATGAACAGTAATTAAATAGAGAGGGAAAGGATAATATTGGAATAAATTTATTTAATAAAAAATTGATTTTTTCAAAATGTCTTATATTTTAGGACACTAAATTTTCTCAAAAAATGTCTTATAATTTAAGATGAAGAGAGTACTTAGTAGTATTCTTTTAATTTAACTAGAACAATGATGTATGTGGCCATTTTTTCCACGGAGTTTTTCTTCTTCTTTTTTCTTTCATTTTATTTTTTAGGAAAGAGAGATTTTTTAAGAAAAATAATTATGTCTAGATCTCAAGACACAGTTAAATACTGCAAATTTCATTGATAATTGCGCATAACAAAATGCCTCATTTTTTATTGCTTAAAGGATGTTCTCCTGTTGCAAGTAATCCTATTTAGTACACGATATGATGACCCAAACCCTGGCCGTTAGTACAAAATGTCTCACTTTATTATGGGAGAATGACAATTAAGGACCTCCTAAAAATATTAATCTCAATTATGAACCGTGAACTTTTAAAATCTCAGTTAAGGACCATGGTCCTTAATTGTGATAAAAAAATATAGTTTGTGAGGTGGGATTCACTAATGTAACTTGAGAATTCACTAACCCAACTTAAAAAAATTACTAACGTATATTATAAAAACATAAAACCCTACTTGAAAATAGAATGTTTAACAAAAAGCACTACTTAAGAATTTACTAACTAGACTTAAAAAAATTTCTAACGTATATTGTGAAAAAATGAAACCCTATTTAAGAATCATTAATAAAAAGTGACTTATCCAAATTGGTGTTTTTTATTAAACAATCAATTTTCAAGTGGACTTTCATGTTTTTACAATATACGTTAGAAATTTTTTCAAGTTGAGTTAGTGAATTCTCAAGTGGCGCTTTTTGTTAAATAATTAATTTTCAAGTGGGATTTCATGTTTTCACAATATATGTTACAAATTTTCTCAAGTTGGGTTAGTGAATTCTCAAGTGGTAATAATGAATTCTACCTCACAAACTATATTTTTTATCACAATGATTGGAATTTTAAAATTTCACGATCTGTAATTGGGATTAATATTCTTAGAAGGTCCTTAATTGTCATTCTCCCTTTTATTATACTCAATTGTCAATGTTTCTTTTGATATTTAATTGTGCTGTGAAATATTTCGTTATAGTTCTTCCTTTTTCATAAAATTTTTGAATAAACTATGCACTCTTTGAAAGCATGGAGGCATAGATTAGATTTGATTCCTTTTAAACCCAATTCACCTAAACTATTTTTAAGTATATATACATTAAAAAAAAAATCAATAGAGACCCACACATACATACTCCTTCTTTCAGCATTATAAGACATTTTTTCAAGTATCATGTTCAAAAATGAGGTATTTTGGGTTGTTGGAAGTGTAAATAATAAGATGTTCTAATTGAGACAACCTATTAAATACAGATAAATATAGAAAGAATGTGTCTTTTAAATATTATTAACTAATTTATTGGGATTATAAATTAGTTAAAAGTGTTCTACTGTTTTTTTTTGGGCCAAAATTAAAAGTATGTTCTACTAATGAACGGAAATTACACGTGAATTATGGTACATTTTGCCATATATCTTAAATGATTAAATATTGTATAATCTTCTGGAATTGCTATCTTTTATTCTTTTTTCCCAAGTCAAAAAAGGCAATACGATTTGTTTACCATACTTGTTGGTAGGTTGTTTTGTATATTAGCGTGGTTGAATTATGATACATTAACGTTCACAAGAAAACAAGGAAACTTCAGGATGTTAATGAGCTGTATATATAATATACAACTTAAACAATTCATTCACATACACACGCAATATATATATATATATATATAAACGTACATTTTACAACAATCATATAGAACAAGAAGTCAAAAAGTGAATGCACAAAATACAAAATTAAATTAAAATAATTAATGTGTAAAAAAGTATGAGACTGTTCTATATATACAACTACTATTCTTGTTCTCCTTCATCTCTGCAGTCTGTTGGAGCGTGGTCGTCTTCTCTCTTAAATCAGAATCAAGCTTTGCTTCGAAGTGTCTCTCATAATTCAGCATCACAATTAATTCAGGTCAGTGATTACTTTTCAGTTCCTTCGCTGAACTCACATTACAAATTGCTTTGTTTTCTAAATGCTTCATTATGTATATAATTTCTTGCTTATATTTCGTATCTGGTCTGAGATTCGTTATCTCTGAGGCCTCCATTAATGGTGGAATGTTAGTTTGCATTTTCATGCTTGGTTTTTTTTTTGGCTTGTTTTCTAATGTTAGTTTGCATTTTACTTATGGTTTTATTGTCATGAAATCATTTTGGTATAATCAATCAAGTGAGATTCAAATATTTTGTGGCTGAATAAGAATAACTCTAACAATGTCATTTTTTTCAATTCACAAAGTTTTAAATTCCTAACCGTCCTTAAATATAATCAGATCCCTTTTACTCAGCATAAACTACTATCGATCACTCTAACATTTTTAGATTGGCGTAAGGAAGCAAATTGATCAAAAATGAAATTTTTAATATATTTTTTAATGTTTTTATTATTTGTTATTTATGAAAACAAGTGTCATTTTTATCTATAAAATTAGTTTCTCTCTTTTTTCATTTCATTTCATCCAGTATGTGTGTGTATTCAAATTAAAGCATTGGAACACAATGTTTGCATGTGAGTTGATAATAATTTTTATTTTTGGTCCGTCACTTTCTCAATCTGATCCCTCACACATAAATACTTTTTAGAAAAACATTACTATTGGTCTATATAGTTTTAACGTGTTTTAGTATAGGCCTATGTAATATTTTTGTTGTTTCAAGTCCTTGTCGTTTACCATAGTGTGCAACATGAGTCCCTTTATTTTTTCAATATGTCTAGAAAAACGATAAGGTGACACTAACGATGTTAAATATATGCTTACCTGTGACAAACATTATTAATATTTGTGCTGAGGTGGAATTATTATACTTCAATAGATTGAAATCCCAAACAGGAAAACAGAACATGGTGGACAACGTTATTAATCTGCTTAATCATAATTTTACTTAGCACATATATATTTATGATGTTAGTCACAAGTCAATATATATATATATATATATATAACATTGTTAGTATTTTGTCTTATAAACCAGTGGGGCTTGAAATATTTTTGGGGGGGGGGACTGCAAGACCTCTATCAAAACATGTTAAAAATATAGGAACCAATAGTTGTATTTTTCTTACTTTTTAATTTAATCTTTAAAATGAAATTAACAAGTGCAATTATTGTTAACTCAATTTGTTAATGATTTGTTATAAGACAAATGTGATTGAATAGTGATAGTGATTCTTATATATATATATATATATATATGATTGACTTAATTGAGAAATATCTATGGGCGAGGGACCATATTTTGAAGAAGGCAAATATACGAAGGACTTAGCTGATGATCTAACTTTAGATCATACTTTACTTAATGTGAGGAACGGTATAGATGTATAATGCTGAGACGTATATATTTTATAGATAAAAAGTGAACCCCATTATTTGTGTGTGTATGTTTGTTTTCATGCTCATAGGTAAAGTTTTTAAGGCATTCAAGTTAGATAATTTATTTATTTGTAAGGGACTAGATTGAGAAATACTACGCAATCTCTAACATGTTAAATAACTAAAATTATAAGAACTTAAGTTATACTGACTTAACATTAATGGATTGAGTTTTAATCAAGTAAAAATTAGAGATTAAGAGCTTATTTCATTTATATTTTAAAAGTTATTTTTTGTTTTTAAAAAAATTTCCCCAGTAAGGGTGAATGTTTTCAAAACTTTTTTCATTTAAAAAAATGAAAATATATTAAAGCTGTTTTCATTTTTTTTCTATTTTTAAAACAAACTAAATTTGATTATTGTAAACTACCTTCAACTATGACCAACTATTATCATAAACTACTATTATTAATCACTTGCATAGAAAACTATTGACTAATGTTTTAATTATAAATTTATTTGTAAATTAACACAATCACACAGATTTTATTTTATTTTTGAAAAACAATTTTTAAGAATTGGTTTGCATAATAGTTTTTAAAAACAAAAAAGAACAAAACCAAACAAGCCCTAGCTATAAAAATTGAAGTTGCACTGAGTCAAAATACAGGAATGGTACGTATTGTAGTGCACAACCTATTTTTTTTTCATTTTTATTTTTTCCTTTTAAACCAAAACAGTTATATATTCATTCTTAATGCTAAACACTTATTTCCTACAAAAAATGTGCAAAACAACATGAATGATGATTAATAGTAACAATGAGATACTAAATAGAGCGAAAAAATCACATTAGGAAAATTAAAATTCATTAATTTTGTAATTATACGGTCTTCGATTGTCAATCTCCAAAAATTCAATCCAATTTTTTTTTTTGGCCTGTTGTGTTGTATTGATATTTTGGAATATTGTAGAATGAGTGGGTCATCAAGAGGAGGAACAGACGATATTGGAGAAAGTGGAACACAGAGTAATAATAATATAGAGGAACAAGTGTTTTCCTCTTTGAATGATAATTATTACTCATTAGTACGAGAGAGAAAGAAATCACTACGAGCTCGCTATTATTTTGGCCTCATATTCTTCGTCGCCAATCTTCTTGCTTGGTTTATTCGTGACTATGCCCAATCCCTTTTATCTAATTCGCTTCAATGTAAGTCATCCTTCTTTTAACTTTTGCACTTTTATTCATTTAAGGATAATGGTATTCTTGCGGAAAAAACTGTTAGAATATTTTTACCCTTTAACTCTTTTTTTATTTTTAACTCTATTGTCATTCTCTCCTTAAAAATGTCACGTTATTCTATCCTCAAAAGTGATTAATTTTTAACTTTTCGTACATTTATTCTATTTTTTTTTATATATTTTCCCCAGATCTGAAAGCATGTGGGGTTGGAGGACAAGATTGTTTTCATACCTTTGGAGTTCTTCGCGTGAGTTTAGGATGTTATGTATCTTTCTGCCTACACATCATCTTCTTGTCGTGACTCATTAAATGCTTTAGCAAATTACACAATTTTTTTTTATAAAAAATTGTTTTTCTCTGCTAAGATTTTATTTAAAAAATAAATAAATTACATAGACATTATAGTTTTAAATATGTTGCATTTTCCTAAAACAAAAAAGACGCATTACTCTTTAGTCTAATTTTATATTCTAGGCCAAGATACTCTTCATTCAAATTTTAAAATTTTCAAAATATGTATATTTAAAAGTGTATTGTTAGTGTGCAGGTAAACTTTCTAATATTTAAGAAACATAAATGTATATTTCTTAAAAAAATTATGAAATGATTATTGGAAAAATTCCATTTTCACATTGTTTGAACGATGCTGATGATCTGATTATTTCAAGCACCATTTTACGTTAAAATAAAACTAAAATATATTGTAAAACAAGCTCAAAGCTTGCCTTTGTATCTCAATATATATATATATATATATATATATTGTAAAAATCCCTTTCCTACTAAAATTTTACATAACTAGAGTTCAATTGAAGAAGAATTTTAGGGACCGTTTGGTTTCTGTTTTTAAAAAATTATTTTTGTATTTTAAAAAGAAAAAAATTAAAAAAACTCATTAGGATAAGTAATATTTGAATTTAATTATTTTTAAAATTATTCTATCTTTATTTTCAAAAATAAAAAACAGAAACATCTTAAAATTATTTTCATTTTATTTTTAATTATTTTTAAAACACACTACATTTAATTATTGAAAAATATGATTAATTTAACCGGTTTCTTTTATAAACAGCTACTATTAACTGCCTTGCAACCATGAAAATATATGTGTGTTATTTAAGGTTAAATTTAATTTGGATATACTGTGTGTGTGTATGTGTTGGGAAGGAACGTCCTTGACAAAGGATACAGATATTTTTCTCAGTAATGTTTGTGAGTACACTGGAAACAAGAAAATTACAAGAAGGTCGGAATTCATGGCATTGTGGATGTTGGGGATTCAAATCTTTTTTATTACTTCTATCAATTACTCTCCCATTCTTTCTCCCTTCCCAAATTGTTCGAATATATGGTATGTTTCTATCATTTATCCAGGTTTTATTATTCAATTTTTATTTATTTAATTTTAAATATTTTGTATATTTTCAATAATTTATTCATTAGGCCTAGTGACCCAACATCAAGTTTGGCTGAGCTGGGCCTGCCTAGGATTGTTGGGCCTTTCTTTTGGTTCCCCCATTTTCTTTCCTTTTTCTTTGACCTTTCTATGTTTTTTCCTGCTGCATTTGATGAAAAGAAAAATGTGTTGAATAATTAAATTATGGTATATTAAATGCGTATAATTTTTACATTATTCTTATGTTACTATTACTTTTATTTAAATTTTATTTAAAAAAATTTAATTTATTAATTTTTATTTTTGCAATATTTCATTTTCCTTTTAAATGGGCTAACTTGTTTTTATTTTTATTTTTTTGCCTATCCATCCCATTTCCCCTTTAAATGAGCTAATCTATCTTTTCAGTCAAAATATGATATACTAACTACTTTTTATTTTCACAATTTAATTGTTATTTAAAATAAAATTCTGTACAAATCGAGAAAAAAAAAATTGCATGAAATTCGGGGCTTGAGTCTAACCAAAGAAAAAAAAATTGATTTGAATACTGTTATCTTATGTTAACACGCGTCATTATCTTAGGGATTAAATTAAGATTTGAATGAAATTATAAGGAAACAAATGTAACTTAGCAAATTAAAATAGTCATATTAGAATTAGATGAACAGATACTCTTTTAAACCTCAATGCATAAAAAGTCCAGCTCAAAAATATTTCTCTGTCTTTTCTTAAATATTGCTTAAATAAGATATTGTAATTATCTTGCAGGTGAAATTGCTCGTATCGGTGCAGGGTGAGCTTCGAGTCCTTCACTTAAAATAATTGTTAATATCTTAAGAGTATTTAAAGATAATGAAATTTACCAAAATAATAAGATTCTTGTTTTTATTGAGGTTTTCATCATTATTAATGTGTATTTTTTCTTTTATTGATACAGAATTTTTCTTCTCTTACAACTTGTTAGTGTTATCCATTTCATCATATGGTGGAACAAGTTATGGACTCCAGAAGATGAAAGGAAAAAGAGGTACATCTGTAATGTCACTGTTTAGTGGTCTTATACATATAATTATTCACCTATATATATATATATATATATAACTATGTGGTATCCAATATTATTGCAGGAAAATGACAATAAAATCTTCTTGAATTATATATATTATAATATGGTCCCTTGAAATGCCGTAATTTCACTAAAATTCCTAAAGGCTTTTATGTCAATAAATTTGAAATTAAAAAGATTATTTTACCCTTACTGACAAGTTGTAATTTCTTGTTCAATTATTGTAATTTTTTGAATAAAAATTATTATTTTTTAAATAAAAATTGTGATTAGGACTTGTTATTTTGAGAACTTATTTTCTAATAATAAAATTATAGTTGGCATGTTGTAATTTCTTGTTCAAATCTTGTGATTCATAGAAGAAAAATTATTATTTCTTAAATAAAAATTGTGATTGTAGCTTGTTATTTTAAGAAGTTTATCATCAAAAATTACAATTGACAAGTGATTTCTTATTTAATTCTTTCAATTTACAAAACATAAATTATAATTGAGACTTATTATTTTCAATAAAGGTAAAATAATCTTTTCATTTAAAAATTTATTAACACAAAAGTCCTTAAGAACTTCAATAGAATTATAACATGTTAAAATATCAGATTGTCATTTATATAATTTAAAAAAATTTTATTATTAATTTCCCTATTATTGCCAACAATAATACAAATTCAAGCAAAGTTAACTCCAACTACAATACAAATTCCATTTCTTTGGTTTGGACCAAGTTTTGTTTAAACTCTTTTTGGTCTTTAATTTTTTTTTTAAGTATAACGGGCTTGAATTGATAGTTCTACTATTCTATTTGGACCTTTTGTTACTAATCGTTTTACTATTTGTTTAATAATATTTAACTTTATATGAAAAAACTCCAAAAACGAAGTATTTCTCCAAATATGATTTGTTTAATTTATCCATAGGATTCATAACTGTTGCCTTTCGTTCTATTTTTCTTATATTAAAAAAGAAACCCATCTCCCAATCCCTTGCAATATAGTGATTCATTATTCAGCTCATTAATGAATTAAAGTGTAGTATATAGCCAATAAAAGTTAGTTCGGTTAGCAGGAATTTTGTCTATAATTCATGAGAGCATAAGTTCAAATATCTTGCTGTTGATGTGAAAATTTTATTAATAAAATTTGTAATTAAGTACATAATTGTAAGCATACCTTGAGTTTGGAAGCATGTGTATCGATAAATTTTAAAACCTAACTCACCTAAATTTTTATTTTTAGCCTTGAAGTATTATGTCTTAATTTTAATAAGTTTTTAATATCCAACTCATCTAAATTTTTTTGCATAAAAAAAGGCGTCAGCATGCATTGTTGACTGATATAAGTAGATTGAATGGGATGGACTCAATATCTCATTAGTAAAATTGAGAGTTTAAATCTTACATTAAAAAAATAAAAAATCATGCAAAGAGAGATAACCTTGTATTGAATATCATAGAGTGAAAAAGGCATAATGTCAAATATTAAAACTAAAAACTCTTAAATGTGAAAATCAGAGGGCCTATTTGATTACCTGTTTTTAGAATGGTTTTTTATTTTGAAAAATAAAAAAATGAAAAAACCTATTTGAAAATGTATTTTCTGTTATCTATTATTAAAAGAAAGTAAAAAAATATTTTGAAGAATTAAAAAAATATCATTTAGATATTTTGTTATTTTTGTTTTGCAAAACTAGAGAAAAGGCAAAAAATATTATACTTTCATAAATAACAATCATGTTAACAAAATAAATTATTCTTTCACCATTTATTTTACCAATTTAGATATATTTTTTAAATAATAATTTAAATAGACTTTTTTTCATTTATTGTTTCCAAATTGTTTTTTCAAAACTATTAAACAAAATTGTTTGAGAACATAAAACAGAAAACTGTATCAAACAGGCCCTAAATCTTTGTACGCTATTGTAATTAACAGCTGTTCCCTTGGACTTTTTATCTCAACGATATTTCATGGCGCTTCCTTTTGTGGAGTTGTGTGGATGTACACGTCATATGCCTCAAGATCTTCATGTTTCCTCAACATCTTTTTCATCACTTGGACTGCTATTCTGCTTGCTGTCATCATCGCTGTGTCTTTACATTCTAAGGTACCTTCTTTTCCCTTTTCCTTCTTGATCACGAGCCATTAATTAGGCGCCTTGTCTTGCATGAAGCTTAAAAAATGCTCTTCATGACTTTGTTAACTAGTTAATATATCCAAATTAAATCCCTTTTTCCGATAACATATATAGTACTTTGACTTTGACACTTATAAACTTTAGGAAGAATTACATTCAAGGACTCCTCAAAAAATTATTTATGGACAAAGATCAATATGAAACAGATTGTTGTTAAAATAGGAACATAATTTTTTCCCCTCAAATGGGACTTGTTCTTAATCCTTTCTGTGAATAATTTTCTTGACTTATTCTTGAATATGATTTTCCCTAAACTTTATTATAAATGAAACCTGAAATATTTAAAGTTGTGAATATAGAGTTTTACAGAGTTAATTAAAGTCCATTTTTATCAAGTATACATTATTTCCTTTAAACTTGAAAAGACTGCAGATTTTTTTTCAAAAAAAAAAAAATCCCCCCACCCCTTTCTCGGTGGAGGATCGCCCACCACGGACATCACCATTATCAACCATCTTTTAATTCCTCTGGGCATCATCCTTGAAAAATTAGACATGAGCCAAACAGTGACGGATTCACAGGGGGCAAGGGCAAGCACCCCCGCAACAAATTTTTTTAAGAAATTGTTTTATTTTTACCTGTAAAAAAATGTTAAAACCAAATTTGGCCCCAACTATTATATAATTTTGTATGTTGACTCCCCTATAGAGTTGTTTCTCTATCGGTCTCTGGAGCCAAGAGACTTCAAAACCGCCACAATCGCCCAGCTCTGTAGAGAATGGATCGAAATCCTTTTCCTGGTGGCCAGGGTACAAAACGCCAGTGGGGTTCTTTTTCTAAGATTGAGGATTTTTTTTAAAAAAAATTACCTGTTTGCATGAGGTGGACAATCTGAGCACACTGTGCTGCCTAGTGTATATTTTTAGTTAACAAAAAATATTTAACAGTTAAACTTAACTCAGTAATGGCAATGGATAAAAGGGACCTGTTATAAACATTTAACGTACGAGAATAATATGCGAAAGTTGAGTTTAAGATATTGGCTGGCATGCCTAAGAGTATAGTTTGAGGGCAAAATTTGAGTTCAATGCATTTGTATAATCAAATCATACGAATTAAGAATAACAATTAAAATTACTTGATATTTTTTACTTTATTAAAAAGTGTTATGGTATTCCAAGATCAATTTTAGCCTCACACGTGTATAGTTATTCTAATAATTATTTAAGGATTGGGAAAAAAATTGATAAATAGTTTGTAAAATTTTATATCAAGGGCCATGTAATTAAACCTTTGGTAAGGAATCTTATAAATATGACCAAAGATATAAAACTGAAAAATCGTATTATTACTTGCTAAATATACAGGCTTTGCATAGTAAAAATGCTGAAATAAAAAACCAAAATTCCTGTATTGTATTTCCTCATAACAGTAATATGAGACCCGTTTGTTTAAGATTTAAAAAATAATTTTTAAATATTTGAGAAATTTCTGTAAAAATTATATAAAAAACAAACATTATGTTATGTTTAGTTATGATATTAAAAAATGATCATTAGTTAGTTATTTTTAAATTTTATAATATCTTCTTTATTTTTTTATAAAAATAAATTATTATTTAACATATATCCTGTTTTTTTAAATATTCTCCCTCATTTATCGTATTAGATTATTTTCAAAAGCTACTTACTCATCGCAACTTCTTAAAATGACTAGAAATATTTTTTTTAATTCTAATTATTTTCAAAATTTTAAAAAATATAATAAAAAACTCACAAAATATATTTTTTAAAAAAATAAGTATTTTTTCATAAAATAAGCTGAAGCAAATATGGGCTCATAATTGAGTTATAAATATAATTAATAAATTAATAATTTGCAGGTTGACAAAGGTCTTTTATCCTCAGGAATTATAGCTTCTTACATTGTTTTTCTCTGTTGGACTGCTATAAAAAGGTCAGATTTTTTTTACTTATTGCATTCAAAATTTTTATGATTTAATCCTTTAATCCTATTTATAGGATAGATGGATATTCATTTTGGTCATATCTTTAGGGCACCTTAATTATTATTGTATCCATATTTACACCTTTGCCTCAAAATGTTAGGAAGGTTATTAAATGGTAGATTATTTATTTTTAAAATATGTATATTTAATACAGTATAGTTAGATACTTGTTGAATTTTTTGATAAAGTTGATAAAATTTAAAATTTTCTTAATTTCAATTAAACAAGTTAGAATTGATTTATAAATATAACTAAATAGAGCATCATTATTGTTTACAAAATTTACAATATGCGCGCAAGCGCATGTGAATGATTGCTATAATATGATAATTTCTTTTGTTATCCCTATGCTATTTTATTTTATATCATTAGAAATGAGTCTAGTATTTTATATTTACATTTAATTCAAGAAATAAATCATACTCCCTTCATTTAGTATTATAAATCACTTTTAGTCAGTAACACCTTCAATAAGGTAGTTAATTTTTTTTTAAATTATATATTCTTTTTATGTTCATTACCATTAGGCTAAAGTATACTTATAGCCCTCTAACTTTATATAACATTTTAATTTAGTCCTTTAATTTTGTAAAGTATCTTTTTAGTACTTTAATCCCAATATTGTTAGTTTCATGTATTTTTTTTTGTATCAATCATTATTATTTTAAAAAAATTAAACTTAATATGTCAACATTTGAGAATGTTTTATCAATAGTTAAAACTTTATTGTAAAAATATGTTAGGATGAAACTAATAATGCTAGGATTAAAAGACTAAAAAAATACTTTACAAAATTAAGGGATTAAAATAAAATATTATGTAAAGTTAAAAGACTAAATGTAAAATATTGTGTAAAGACACTTTACCCTTATCATTAAATATTTAAAAGACACTTTTAAATGTTGTGCAAAGACACTTTACCCTTATCATTAAATAGGGTGTCTCAAATAGAAAACATTATTAATCATATTCCTTAATTAAGAGTATTTTTGAAAAAAAAAAATTATGAATTGCACTTTTAAAAGTGTTTTATATTTTGAAAATGATATTTAAAAAAAAGCCTCATAATATTCACTACAAAAAAAAACTTTTAGTGGTGACAAAAAGTTGCCACAATATTGTTGTGAGAACTCTTATTGTTGTCTATGTACGGCAACAATAAAAGTCACTATTAAAAATATTCAATTAGCGGCAAGAAGGTAAATTTATTATAGCAAAAATATAGTCATCACTGAAAGTTTAGAATCAATGACGACAAATGTTGCTACAAAAACCACACATTAGTACTGGCAACTATTTAGTTGCCACTGAATGTTAAGCATCAATAGTGACATTTGTCATTATGGAAACTACCAATCACCAACCACTTTTTTGTTGCCATTGAAAAGTGATGCTAGTCAACCAAGCCACATGGTGCCGTGTCACCCTCCCATTCCCTCTTGGTGTCACTTCATTTGCCACATGTCACCCTTCAAGTGAGGGCATGTCATCTTCCTTGTGCCACTCATGTCACTGCCATGTGTCACACATTTATATTTTCATTTTACAAATTACTTTCTCCAATGTTCGAACTAATCGCCTCCTTTTTTGCCACTAAACTGAAATGAGCCTATAGTTTATTATTACATAATTAAATATATATTATTAAACTAAACAAAAACACATATATTGTAAAAATTAAATATTATAAAATATTATTACTATCATTAAATACTTCAATTTAATTCTTTTAATTTATTTAAATTAAAAATTATATTATTTATTTTTTCTGATGTAAACTATAAATATAATTGATACAATATCATTTATAGTATTTCTTTTTAATTTTTTTACTTCTTGAGGTTATTGTATTATTTATTTTAATATTCAAGTTTATAATTTTAATATAAAAATATCTAATAATAAATAATAAAAATATAGATGATTATACATCAGATCATTTATATTTATTCTTTTGGCTAGTTTTAATTAAAATTTTATCTTTACTTTTATTTAACAATAAATCTTAAGTAATGTAATTGACTTGTTTTTCCATTACATTTTACTTTTTTTTTATTAGTTTTCATTTTTAAACTATAATTTTATAACAAAATTATATATATTATCTAATTTTTTATATTTACGTTGCAAGATAGCATCAAACAAAAAAAAAATCATATAGCATCATATACATAGATATATTTCATATATTGTAAAAATTAAAAGTATAATTTTAAAATATCTCTTTTCTCTTCTTTTTAGCTTTCTCTTTCCTATCATTAGCTATCAAATTGAAACATTTAAACCAATATCAAGCTTCAAAGTTATCGATATTAAATGAAGAATTTGAATTAAAAAATTAGATTAGATAAAATATCATTATATGAATAACTAAATTTAACTATTACATGTTTAATTATTATAAACAAGTAGCGTTATTATTTAAAACATCAATTTAATCATAAAATATTTAAAAATAGAGACTCATTATCATATCATATGCATTCCGAATTAAAATATCAAACAACAGGTTTTTATTGGATTAAAAATAATACAACAAAATTACATGAAATATATTAAATAAAAACTCATTACATTATTTTATATATTCATAATAAAATTATAATAATACAACAAAATTAATGTATTAAAATGTTAAATATTGGATTAAAAAATAAAAAAATTATGATGATAATATCTAGTTATTATTAATTATTACGAAAGTCAAACTTTTAATAGTAATATTGAAAATTACACTTCCTGTGGCGACTCTAAAAAGTAGCCATTGAATGTGAACTTTTAGCAGCGATAGAAATTTAAACTTTTGGTAGCAATGTTGAAAGCGTGACATTTTATGGCAACACTTTTAACAGTGATTTTGCATGTTGCTGTTGAAGGTCAAACTTTTAGTGGTGACTTTTATTGTCACTGCATGTTATTCATTTTCAATGGTGACTTTTTAGAATTGCCACTGAAAATCATCGCTGAAAGTCATTTTTTTTTTGTAGTGATTGAAGGAAGGAGTATTGTTTATGAATTATAGTATAAGGGTTAATGAGTAAATAGGACCCTGAACTCTTACTCGAAAATCATCCTAGACCCTGAACTCTTAAAATATGAAAAATAAACTCTAAACTTTTAAATTCATAGTAAAATAAACCCTAACTATTAACTTTTTTAACATCGCTACTGTCCACGAGGGTACTGTAACAATTAAGGTTAAATTTGTAAGAAAATAAACCCTAAACAATACTTGTGTGAACAATAATAGTGTTAAAAATTTAACAGTTAGGGTTTATTTTACTATGAATTTAAAAATTTAAAGTTTATTTTACGTATTTTAAGAATTCAGGGTTCAGGGTGATTTTTGAGTAATAACTCAGGTTTTATTTACTTGTTAACTCATAGTATAAATGCCATGACTTAACTTGTTTATTGATTATTAATATATTGATATTGATTCTTGTTATTATTTATGGCTTTCCAGTGAACCCATTATTATAAGATGCAGCCCGGTCAACTCAGAGAAGGAAAATCGTGATTGGATAACAATAATTGTACGTCTTACCCTTCACTCTTATAAACTTTTTAAAAAATTAATTCTTTATATTGATTATATTTTTCTTGCTTTTTTGTTTGGCCACACATTGAGTTTTCTTCCTTTCATTCGGCTACAACTCAAAATTTTCATGTGTGCTGATAATTTTTTGATACAATTCTATGTTATATTCATACTTGTAAAGATTTTGTAAATAATGTAATTTGTTATAAATTTGGTATTCTATATTGGATTATTGATATTAAATATTAATACACATTTAATTTTTGTAGGCCTTTCTGATTGCCATCTTTGCCATTGTGTTTGCCACGTTTTCCACAGGAATTGATTACAAATGCTTCCAGGTGCACTGCTCTATCCATTAATGGTTCAAAAATCAAATAATTGATACGTATTTGAAAAAAAAAAGATTTTTTTTAAATACTTCAAGATGTAGAATTCAATATAGGGGAGAAAATGAAAGTGATTGGCTTGTTTGACAACTTGTTTTGAGAATAATTTTCTATTCTTTAGAACAAAAAAATAAATTTAGTAATGTATTTTTAAAAATTATTTTGGAGAAAAAACTAAATATTGTTTTGAAAAATAGAAAAAAGAAATATCTTTTAGATATTCTGAGATTATTATTTTAGAAAATAAGAAAGAAAGCAAAAACACCTATTTTCATTATTTTTTATTTTCAAAACATGTTTTATGAAGTACCAATTTTTAGAACAATAAAACAAAAGTAATTTTAAACTGATATTATTGGACCAACATTTCCTTTCGAGGCTCTAATTCCCCTTCTAGTATCCAAGCATAGGTTAAATGTATGGGAAGAGGAATGCCCCCTCACCATACACCTAGTTCCAAATTTATTGAATTGAAAATTAATATTATTACATTAATAGGATTAGTATGAGAAATTTTTGCATAGAAACAATGCATAACGTCATCTATATACTCTATCCAGTAAAAATGTGTGATGTTAGATGATTGTGAATATAAATTGATTATATTACCGATGATGATAGAAAAATAAAAGACAAAAAATTAAATATGCACTTTATTTAAAAAATGAAGTCATTAATAATGACACAAAATTTTATTGAATTGAATTGATGTAATTTTATTGGATATAATATGAATAACATGGTGCATTGTATCCATATAAGAATCCGTCAACTAGTTTAGCTATGTTAAACATATATTTTTAATGTTTGTATATTGGTCTATCATGTTATAAAATTTGAAAATCTCTCCTTTTTTTTATCATCAATTTATAATAACATATGAAAATTAATTGAAAATATAAACACTCACTGTCACACACACATATTCTGTATAAAATTTTTCTCAAAAATAATATATTAGATATATGGTGATGTTTTGTATTTTGAAATACTGTTATTCATAATTATCATTTAATGATGTTTAAAAAGTTATAAATTATTTTTACGAAATTAATTATAAAAAATATAATAAAATTAAATCAACAATATATACATGTACATATATATATATATATATATATGAAAAAATTGGCCGCAAAAGTTTCAAGGTTAGTTCCACCCTAATTGTTTCTTTTTTATATGTGCATCATTTCTTTTTATATATATTATATCAATTAATATTAACACTTTTTCCATTCTGCACTGTTTTATTTACATGATCTCCTTAGTAATATTGGAAGAAAAAGTTTTAATCTATTCTATTCCACTCTATTTTATATCATTTCATTAATGATTGTTTCTTTTCTTTTAATCATAAACTCCCAAAAGTACTTTAAGATTAAAAAATTTGATAATTCTCATTAATAATTGAGAGCGGAGTTAATGTTAATATTTCTAGGAAGAAAAGCCAAATTTTTTCTAGAAATAAAAGCGACGTGAATTTAATTATGCGCCAATTTTTTATTTGTTTGGTTTGCAGTTTGGAAAAGATGAAGTGGAAGAGGAAGATGATGTTCCATATATGTATGGATTTTTTCACCTGGTTTTCTCATTAGGAGCAATGCATTTCGCCATGTTATTCATCAGTTGGGATCTCAATAATTCACCCGCCAAGTAAACATTTTTCATCCATTCCTCTACTGCTATTTTTCAAAATCAATCAAAAATAAATAATAATTAATTTTTTTATTTTTATATAAAAATATATTAGTTTAATTATGGTTAAATTAGTAAATTCTAAACTAGTATATCCTCTCCAAGCCAATGAAATAAATTAGTATCTCCTGTAATTTAATGACCAGTACCATTTTAAAACATTTAATATTATTAATTTTGTTTTTATGTAACATATTTTTAATAAATTTTAACTGTGCAATCGATTTCAATTTTTTTTTGGTTAAAACAAAGGATATTTTTCAACAAATTTTACTGAAATTCCAATTTATAATTAACTATGTAAATCAATATTTATAATTTATTTTTCAAAATTTTTTAACAGAAACTTAATTATTATTAATTGAATATTTTGAGACCTAAATGTATTAATTCAATATTTTAGAATTTAGCTATCATTATCCCTGTAAAAACTTGTAAAATACTTCTGGTTGTTGGCAAGTACAGGTGGAGCATTGACGTAGGGTGGGTTAGCACTTGGGTCAAAGTTATCAACGAGTGGTTTGCAGCCTCTTTTTACTGTAAGTCCATATTGAATAAAGTACAAATTGCAATTAAGTTCTAAAATATTAAACTAATCACAATTAAGTTTAAAATAATTTTTTAAAAATAAATTTAAAATATTGATCCAGATAATTGTAAATGTAAAAATATTAGTTGCAAATAAGACATTTAAATTTTAAAAGTAATTGTGATTCCTATTTATAATACTGTTTGAATTAATATTTATAACCCATCTTTTAAAAAATGGGTTAAAGATCATTTCTCCCCTGTAAACTTTTTTTTTTAGGAGTATTAGCTACCCTATATTGAAGGGGTAGAGCAATATCCCTCCTAAGTAATTTTTTTAAGAGTAAAATCATCCTTTCATAAGAGATACATCATCCTTTTCGTTATGTGCTAATATTGAATTGTTGTGGGGGCCACGCACATTGATAGTAAGACATTTTGATTCATTTTGACCATTTGATGATGGTCAAAGGAGTTAAAAGTGGAAGTGACAATAGTTAAATGGATCAAATTTTAGTAGCTAAATTAAACCACAAAAAATAGGTTAGAATATATTGATGTCGCTGTATATAAGCTTCACAATTATTCCATATCAATGGATAATATAAAAGATGATGGGTCTATAACATAAAGACAATTTTACTTTTGAAAAAAATTATTTAAGGAAATATTGCTTCACTCTTTCAATACATAGAGTCCAACACTTTTCAAATTTAGGGAAAAAGTAATCTTTAACCATTTAGAAAATTTTATTGATAACTTAGTTACCATTAATTCAATGTTTTGGACTGTCATTCTCCTTTGAAAAATGGGGAGCAATTTCTCTCCTCCTCTCCCTTGCTTTCCCCAAGTACATTAAAATCCACTCATGATTTTTTTTTTAAATTTTCCCGGACTGTTTCATTTAATAGATGCACTATAGTATAAAATTTTACATGCCCAGGAGGGAAATCAATAGGAGAGAATCCTATTCCAAATAAGTAGAATTGGAGGATCTTTTGCTTAATCTTTATTACTTCTGCATTCACTTAAAACTTTAACTATTCGTCTAATTTTCAATTTATATATTACTTCTGCCTTTTTATTCACTCAAATTTTCATGTAATCCTTATGGTTGCACACAAAATTTAATTATGGTTTCAAAGTTTAAATAAAGTTTAAAACCAATGTCACTTTATTTTTCAGACACTTGTTTTGTTTATTAAAATAAATCATATACTTAATATCCAATATGAAGATTATATATAGCTAGTTATTACATGAAAAATATTTAATCAATTATAAAGATTCAATAAAAATTTTCAAATCAAAAAACTAAATTAGGAAAAATTAAAAATAAAGATAAATTATAGATATTAAAAACATATACCTTCTTTAAAAAGTACAATAAAGCATTGTCATCTATATATATATATAGAGAGAGAGAGAAAAATATGAAGTTTCATTTTGTCAAGTTTTGAGATTTTCTAGATGGAGATTCTACAATACACGGATCATAATTTAAAAATAATTTTTTCCCTGAAATACACATGATTCATATAGCCTAATTATAAAGAAGAAAATCACATAAATAAATTAATATATATTTTAAATTTTTCCCTTCATTTTAGTCCTATAAATTACAAGAACAATTTAATTTGTTTCATTAGTGTATGAATTTGTTTGTATTTGCTTGTTGTAGTGTGGATGCTGATCTCTCCTGTGGTGCGACAAAACAAGGTGACCGGCAACAATGAACCTGTACAAGAGACAACTGACTCTTCTCTAGCTTGAGTTTTTTTTTTGGGTAAAATAATAGCATATTTTATTTTATTATGTATAAGAAACTTTATTTTCCCCCATTTTAAAGCTATGGCGCAATTGTGTAGCCATTAGTGTTATGAAAAAGACCTTGCTGGGTTACTAGCTATGACCAACCTTTTATATATATATATATATATAGTGTAAAATAATTAAATAACACCACTTTTTAGACCAAGTTCCTTTCTTCTCATATCATAGCCTTTGGTGTTCATAGTTTAATACATGCATGCTTGTCTTGGATAAGACACACGCGAGTTTCAGCCTTCAATAATTCATCATAAAACTTAGCGAGTCTATTTTAGGCTTGTGTTGGAACCAATACTCATTTGTTTTAGTGTCTAGAAGCCTTGTTCTTCATTGACCTCTGTTACGTGCTTGTCCTGAATAGGATGCACGCATGTTTGAGTGTTCTAGTGATAGAAAGTGTTCTAAGTTTGCCTTGATGTTCCAATGATTCCCTAGTTCAAGGAGGGTAGTTTTTTAGAAAAATGATTAGAGGCCTTACAAACTACTTAACAAAATGAAGATTTGTGCCAAAGAAAGGAGATAGCTGAGAGGTGCCTTGTGAACTAAGCAAAGAGAAGTTCATGCATTATTGAGGAAATTCCAGCAAGTGTAAGTGGCATTGACTTCGTCCAATTGCGAGAAAGTGAAGAAAAGAAAGCCCAAGTAATGAGGTATAAGGACTTGAAGCTTAAAGAGCTCATTCTCTCTACTATTGGGTCACCCACTCTTGATTTAAATCCTTTGTCATGTAATTTAAAACATGCTTTCTTTCTTAAGGGTGAGAAATCACCTGTAATTATTTTCAACTCTCTTGCTGCTAATGAGGAAACTGCTTTGTTATCTATGCTTAGAAAGAACATTAAGGCTATTAGGTAGAATTTATGAGATATACCTCAAATAGTGTTGGATAGGGAGGCGTAGCAAAAATTAAAATTTTAAATCTCTATCCTGATGTAGACCGAACGAACTCATTTAAATCAAGGTGAATAAAAAAGTTACCTTTTTAATTTTGAATTCTCACATGCATTCTCTTCAAAAGTTCGAATCTCATGAGCTGACAATATAGATTTGCTCCCTCTATCAGTATCCATACAAACAACTCTCTAACTAAAATAGTGTGCTAATACTCCCAACGTCTATTCATCTTTGAATGTCGGTTTACTTTTCTTCAGGGTATTTCATGGCTCTCAAAGTATTTGGCCATCAAAACTTTTCTCTCTCTTGAGTGCGCCCCCTCCTATATCATATATATAGATTAGGGTTTTATGTCTTCTTTTAATGGACCAATAAAAATTTAATTAAATTTACCTCATAAATTTAATTCATGATGTTATATCTAATTTAAATTTATTTTATAAATTCAAATTATAAAATTGATATGATATTCTCTCATATCATGTTAGTTATTAAATTTAATCAATCACATGAAATTAAATTTAAAATTAACATAACATAATATAATATAAGATAATATATATATATATATATATCAGATATACATATTATATTATATATATATGTATACACAAAATTACACATATATGCATATATATATAAAAATTATATCTATATATTATATTATATTTTGATTTTTATATATCATATATATATATATATTGATGGACCCCATAGCATGGATAACATGGCATTAATGGCAACGAAACTTGAGGATAGTAATCATGAGCATGATGACATGGAAGTAGCCCAAGGCAAGGAGCAAGGAGCCTAGTACTTCCAATCGAACGTACCTAAAGACCCATTATAACATATTGGAGGTCCAATGACAAGAGTGCAAACTAAAGCCATGAAGCAAGCCTTGTTCAATCTTGTGCAAGAAGTTTAAGAGCTTGGAGAGCATTGGGGCACTCCTCTCAAGCCCAAAGGAGAGCATCTATATATGTATAATGTACTTAAAATCCAAACTCATGAAGAGTCAAGCCCAAGAGATGCAGACCTTAGCCCAATGCAAGGAAGACTATAAGTTGAGCCTCTTGCAAGCAAGGAGGCATGAAACCCTAATGAAGAAGTCAAAGTTGGCGTAATTTTAAATCATTTATAATCCTTGATTGTCTCCTATATTATTTCCTATTTTAATGGTCCTTTGATTTGATTTTCTATTTTGAGTCTAGTTAAAGGTTAGAATTAATTATAGTATTAATTTTTAAATTTTGTAATCCCATAATTTTAGGATCACATCTCCTAAATTATGTGGCTGAATATTTTATCATTATTTTATATTATTTTTCCTTTTAGTATTAGAAAATTAGGGTTTTAATTTTAGGAAATATTCTTTTCTATGAGCCTATATAAATTAGGCATGCTCCCTCTTGTAAACGACACAGAAGTTGAATGAAATTATTCATTTTTAGAGTTTATAACTCTTGTGAGCTTTAGTGCTTTATGGTGGCATCACGTGTAAAAAACAGACGTGATCAAGAGCGAGATCGACTCTTATGGTGTCTTCGAAGGTTGAGGTTTCTAGAGACAGGTGCTCTAAAGGACCTTCTCCTTGTCATTATCCTATTATTTACTTCATATCTTTCTTTATTTCCGTCATAAATTTTGTCCATTTCTTTTTGTTCTTGTATTTTTATTGTGTTTCAGGGTTCTGTCCTTAAACTAGCACGATTTTGCTTCCGCATCCCCTATCAGATTGGTATCAGAGCTTTGGTTGCTAGTTTTGGTTCAAAATTCTTGTCCTTTCTTTCTTTTTTCACCTTGAATTATTTCTTTTTGTGATCATCTCTTATCTACCACATCTACTTCTATCTTTTAGTTTTTCTCTTCTTCATCTTTGTGACTTTTTCATCTTATGTGAGTTTTCATTTTATTAGCCTTCTAAAAAAAAGAAAACCTAGAAATTCGTGCAAAAAAAGGGCAAAAAAAAGTGTTAGTGTGTTGAAAAAAAGAGAAAAAAAATCCAAAAATTCAAAAAAAATTACAAAAAAATATATTGCTGAGTTATGAATGTAAAAAAAGGCTATTCTTGAACTCCAAGTCACCAACGAATTGCCTAAAGAGAAAAGTCAACTTGGATGGTAAGAAAGTCTTATACATTGATCACTTTCTTATTTTTAATTTTTGGTAGCACTTTTCAAATTATCTACTCTCTTATTTGCTATTTGTGCTACTCTCTTACTTTATTTAGTTTTCTATTTTTATCTTTGAGTATTTGACTCTTTGACTTTTATTTCTTTCTTTCTTATTTTTGTTGTCACATGTGGTTGTTTCTTTAGAAAGCTTAATTTTATTTGAAAATTTTGCTTTCCTATTTATTTCAAAATTGAAAAAAAAATCCTCTTTTAATCTTGTGCTTGTTTTTTAGTTTCCTTAATTTAGAAGATATTCACTTGATTGTTTCTTAGTTTCGTGATTTTTGTTTGGTTTCACCATTGGATTCTATCCACAAGCTTAGTGAGTGGTAAAAAGCAAGTGTGTTTTTCATTATTAAAAAAAAGCCATTAATTTTTTTGTGTGAAACACGAGTGATTTTATTTATCTTAAGAGTAAACACGTGAGTTTGTATGTGTGAGGACCCATTTTTATCTTATATGGTTTCTAGTGCTTCTGTGAACATGAGTAACAAGGAAGAATCCCCTAGTATTGATATGAACTCTGTTTTAGAATTTATCAAAACACAGTTGCAGCAGTTTTGCTTAGAACTTGATCATAGGTTTCATAAAGAGGATAAAGATGAGCCAAAGATTTCCTCTTTTAAAGGAAAGAAACGTAAGACCCCCAGTGATGATGAAGAGTATGAAGAGCCCCCTTTTCCTAAGGGAAAGAAATCTTCAAAGCGTGATGTTGACTTACCGGACTAAAAAGTAAAGTATCTTTCATTCAAGGGTAGCAACAATCTAGAAAAATACCTTGATTGGGAAATGAAGATGGACTAAATCTTCATGACTCTTGATTTGTCTAAGTCAAGAAAGGTAAAAATTGCTTCTTTGAATTTTATTGACTATGCTGTTTATTGTTGGCAAGATTTATAGTACAAAAGAAACCAACTTGGGAAAAAGCCCATTAAAACGTGGGAGAAGCTTAAAAGATACTTGAGAAAGGCTTATGTCCCTAGTTACTACTACACAGAGCTGAATAGAAAATTAAAAATTTTTCTCAAGGATCTATGACAGTGGAGGAGTATGTGCACGAGTTGAATATTTTGAAGTTTCGTGCAAACATTCAAGAAAATGAACGTGAAGCAATGTCAAGAATTATGGATGGCTTGAGGCTAGAGTTGAGAGATAAGCTTAACTTGTACACTTTTGTGGACAAGGAAGAGCTCATACACAAGGCTATAAAGTTGGAGCAGAGAAATAAAAACAAACGTTCCAAGTCTTCTTGGAAAGACTTTAAGACAACTTCCAAATGGAAGGATTCCAAAGCTAAAGATACATCCCAGGCCAAGGAAGAAATGAAGACCAAGTATGAGGGTAAAACTTCTAGCCCTAAACCTCCTTCTTATTCATCTAACACTTCTCCTATTAAGTGTTTCAAATGTCATGGTGTGGGCCACATGGCGAGAGATTGTAGCAATAAAAGAGTTATGATCTTGAGAGATGATGGTGGCTATGATAGTGTGCATGAAAGTGATAAAGATGATGCTGATAATGTTGATGATGATTCTACCTCCCATGAATCAAATGATGAGCTTGAATGCAATGGCGTAGTTAACTCTATCTTGGTGGCAAGAAGAGCTCTTAATATTCAACTAAAGGAGGATGATGAACATGAGCAACATGAGCATATTTTTTACACTAGATGCTTCATCAAAGAGAAAGTGTGTAGTATGGTAATTGATTGTGGTAGTTGTACTAACGTAGCTAGCACTTTACTTTTAGATAAATTATCTCTACCTTTAATTCCACACCCTAAACCCTACAAATTGCAATGGTTGAATGATTGTGTTGAAATTAGGGTTTCTAAGCAAGTGTTAATTACTTTCTCTGTTCGAGTTTATACTTGTGATGTATTATGTGATGTAGCCCCTATGCTTGCTGGACACTTGTTATTAGGTAGGCCTTGGCAGTTTGATAGTAAGGCTACTCATGATAGTTTTAGAAATTGTTACAAGGTGCCTTTTAAAGGCAAGACTGTTGTATTAAATCCTCTTAGGCCCATCCAAGCCTATGAAGATCAACTTAAGATTACTCAAG